GGTTTAGAGTGATTATATATGCTGCAAATGTGATAAAAAAACAGAAATGTGCTCACCTATACATTTGAAAACCATTTCTATACAACAACAACAACAAAAAAGGTCCAGAATATACTCTCAAACTAGTTTTTAAACTCATAAATTGTTCAATTTCACAAATAATTACAAAGACACTGCAATTAACCTGTTGAATTAAATGTGAAATTTTGAAGTAAATACTGAAATAGTATTTTCTTGTAAAACATACTCCAGTAATCTTTATTTACAACTTAAACATCTTTGTTTACAGTGTATCACTAAGTATCTTCATGAAAACGTAAAATGCTAAAGTTTACAAATTTCATTATAGAAATAGGTAGAAAAAATATCTTTAGCACACGAAAAGTCTCCACCATGATAGAGAAACAAATGTGTGTGTGTGTTATAGAGGGAGGGAGATGGTTCAGTACAAATCATGGGCAGCCTGTGAAACAAAGCAGTCTTGGATGGAGGGATAAATGGAGCGAGCGGATAGAGGGGTGGAGTGGAAGAGAAGCTTTCAACCCAGTGTGTCCTCACTGCCTGGAACAGTTCATGCACATGAGTGGCTCTGAGTGTGTGTGTGTGATCTCTTTATAAATACATGTTTGATCTTTCTCTATTATACTCAGCAGGCAAAGGCTTGTGAATTTGAGAGAGAAATTGCTTGCACAATCAGATGGTTGCATGAATGTGACATTTTTGGCAGTTTTCGACTTTTCACACGTAAAACTAATCATAACAGGGTGATTTTCTGACAGGCGTCACACACCAGCCCTGAGCCTTCAGTGGGCTTTTATTCGGTGGGTTACAACTGAATGTAAATTTGTGTGTAAAAGAGAATTCAGGTGAGAGACTGTATGAGACTAATGTAGATCAGAGTTTTCTGTGTGTTTAGGTTCTGGCACACTTTTGAGTCGACCAAATACAGAGGAATGAGTATCCAGGGACCAGAAGAGGGTTTCTCCTGCTGGAATGATGAAATTGATGATGATGATGATGATGATGATGATGATTACTACTACTAGTCATTGTCATCTTTATTTGACCAACTGTTTATCGAAAGCAAGCACATTTTTACACAAATATGTATTATAAATTAATATTTAGATTATCTATATTTTATTATTATTATCTATATAATTATTATATTCAATTAACTTTATAACTATATTATTATAATTGTAAATAATATTATAATATTATAAATATTAATATTAACTTTCTGGAAAATAGTTAAAATTAAGTCTAGAATATATACATGTTCTATCATGAGAACTCTCGGAAGATTTTAGCATGGTAATGGCTATGACAATGTTAATGTACTTGGTCTTGGCGGAATAGATCTGCTACACTGCTGCTGTTGCTCAATTGCTGCTGCTGTTGGTTATTGCTGTATTTGTAGATTATTGCTGCTGCTGCTGCTGCAAGCAAGTACAGGAACCTGCTACTGCCAATACATAAGCCGATATGCTGCTGTGAGTATTTAAGACATACTGCTGCTGCACAAATAGCATATAAAATAACCCGTAGCAGATCTATACAGGTGGAGCTAGGGTAGGTGGAGGGTTTCAGAGGAACTCTGAAAGCACGCTGCAATGCTCAAGCGAATGCTAATCAGCCATTTAAATGTAAAGCAGCAAGCTCATTAGCTGCGTATGTCACATGAACCAATCAGCTTGTGACAAGTTGAAGAATATCATCACTTACGTTAAGGACATCAGCCTGCGCCATCTAGAGTTTCATGACAGAACTTGGTATTTTTTTCAATCCTGTGGTCAGTCTTATTTTATTAGTATTAGTGTTATTGTATTAGTTATTTTAGTATTATTTAAATACTGGTATAGTATTTATTAATATTTTGAATTTGCTTTAATTTTTATGTTTTTTAATTTACATTTACATTTAGTCATTTAGCAGACGCTTTTATCCAAAGCGACTTACAAATGAGGACAATGGAAGCAATCAAAATCAACAAGAGAGCAATGATATACAAATGCTATAACACAATAACACTTATTACACGTAGCAAGGTTTTTTAAAAATTATATAATAAATAAAAAGAAAAACTATATAGAATAGAAAAAGAATAGAGCAAGCTCGTGTTAGAGACCTTTTTTTGATTTTGTTAATTGTATAATAAATGAAAAGAAAACAGATAGAATACAAAAAGATTAGAGAAGCTAGTGTTTTTTAAAGAAAACAAGCAGTTAGTAAATGAATAGAGTGCAGGTTTTTTTTTTTTAAGAATAGAATTAGAATAGAGAGTGCTAGAGTTAGAGGGTTAAATAAAGATGGAAGAGATGTGTTTTTAGCCGATTCTTGAAGATGGCTAAGGACTCAGCTGCTCGGATTGAGTTGGGCAGGTCATTCCATCAGAAGGGAACAATATTAATTGAACATTAATTTTAATTTTAATTTTTATTAATTTTGTTATGTGCTTTTGTCTTTTTTTTATTAGTGTTTAATTATTTTTTAAATATTTAATAAAATCACTATTAACTTTTTGCAAAATAGTTCAGAGTGCGGTTCATGTATATTACTATGTATTATGTATTATATACTATATATTATTTATAATATGATTTATATATTGTTATAATAATATTATATTTATTAATATTATGAATTAGCTTTTAATTTTATATATATTTTTTTTTTTCAGTTTTAGTAATTTTGTTATGTATTTTGTACATAACTTTCTATTAAGCTCTTTTTCAGTTTTAGCAATTATAGTACTTCAGCTTATTTATTTCAGTTTGTTGCAAAAGTTCAGTGAGAAATTGATAGTTAACTTACATGAAGATGCATTTTAAGTTTTTTAAGTAATTTTTAAACCATCTTTGATATTATTTTTTCATTATAATTATTTAATTATATAATTATTTCAAATTTACCCCTGTTTATTCACTCAAGTGTGATGTTGTGATAAAACAAGACTATTTTATCATTAAAAACAGAGTTTAATGTTTTATTCTGTATCTAACCCTCTTTCCACCATGTCTTTCTCTGTCAGGTTATTTTTTGGATAATTTTTGTACTGCATTGATCACAGAATCTGCAGTTCACTTCCTTACACTGGCACTGATCTGTATGTAAAGCTATGATACTGTATGTATACTGTATGTATCTATCTAAAACCTATTGTTTTACCTGATCTCAGTGTTGGACAAATAGGTATTTCGGGTACATGTGATTTCACAGATATATGAAGCTATGTATATGCATCATGGCTATGAAAACTGATCTCGTGTACATAGCAATCAATGTCTAGAGGAAATCAAATGATGCCCTTAATAAACATAATTGAACGGCAAACTCTTAGTTATGCATTAGTCAATATACGGTAGAGAGGCAGCATATAAATTCAGATTTTCCACAGGTGATTTATACATTTTGTTTTATCATATTGGAGATTGAGAATTGTGTCAATTTACCAGAATGTGTTTTTTAATTTATTCCTAGTTTTGTTATAACTTACTTGCTCATTAATTGTAACTTCTTGATTATATAGTTGACGTTTCCAAAAAGGCTCACATCTTTGAGATTTGCAATTTGAGTCCAAGTACTTTAGTTTCATTCGGTATGTGTTTTCATTAATTGCTAATAAAGCTTCATTAATAAAGCTGAAGTCAAATAAAATTTAAGATGAAAGCATAAACAAAAAATTTACAAAAAAACCTAATAAAATAGGTTTAAGTTGGGGTATTAAAAAAATTGTATTAAATAGAATTGTTAAAAAAAATTATAAAAATGACAAAAGCACATACCAAAATTACCAAAGTATAAACTAAACTTAAACTAAAAACAATCAAACTATATAAATACAAGCTAATTCAAAATGTTAAAAAACACTAATGCTAAAATACCACTGGTGTCTACCTAATGCATAAATGTAAATGTTATTTAATAATATATAATGCATAATGTGGTTCCAGCACAATGGATATCTCTAAATGAAGCAAGGTTGTGGGTTTGCGTCCCACCGGTTTGGTGTAGTGGTTAAAGCTTAAGGCTGGAAACTACCGGATGCTGGTTTGGGTCATTAGCTATTAGCATAGTGTCCTTGAGCAGGGCACTTAACTTCAGGTTACTCCGCAGAGATTGTGTCGGTAATAAGTGAACCGTAAGTTCCTTTGGATAAAAGCATCTACTTACCGGAATAATGCATTATTGTTAATTCAGTTCAAGTTTATTTGCATAGCACTTTCACAATTCATATTTGTTTCAAAGCAGCTTTACAGAAAACTAGTGGATATCACCATGCTTCCCCAGTTGACTTATTTATTTTAAGAATTAAAAACAAGTTGTCCAAGTTTTCTGAAATGTCCTGTTTAAATATGCAACAAAAGGCATTATGTAATTAAATATACACTAGTTTGAATACATTTGCAGGAAATAAATCTGAACAATGGACAAAGCCTAGTTCAAACGTTTCATTTTGCTAACATATAGTTACTGAGGGGATTTTGGATATCTCTTATTATCACTCCATGAATCGGAAAATACTGTCAACAGCCAGAAAAAAAAAAGCATTTTCACTATGTTTTTAGAAATAAAATGTTGTAAAAAATCAGGCAAATGATAAATGAACAAACCCCTCTATAAAAACCTTCAGAATATAGATGGGAATAAAACTGTAAAGTTTGGTGTATGAAAGTGCTACAGAAGTGGAGATGAAAATGGATTTACCAAAAACAACCTTTAAAGATAAGTATTGTAATTTAAATCTACAGGCGCAAATAGATACAGTAGTGCAATAAAATAAAGACAAAGTGTATTTTTTGATGTTTTTTTTTTAAACCAACACATTATGAAAAGCCAAACAGCCCAAAATCTCAGAACTGACCAGTACATGCAAAAAAAAAAAAAAAGTTTTTACTTACAACAAATGCTGAGTTACAACTTGTGCTTGTTTTGTATGTTGATCCATCATTTTTAGTTATCTCTGCCGAACTCTCTCTTTCTTTCTTGTTTTTCAGTATGTGGCATGCGGATCCCTTCTGTTCATCCTCATCTCCATTTCCACCTTCTGCATGGAGACGCACGAAGCGTTCAACACCATCTACAACAAAACGGAGAACGTGACTGAGGGGAACGTGACGAGAGAGGAGATCGTGTACGAGGTGGTGACGGACAGATGGCTGATGTATGTGGAGGGAATGTGCGTGATCTGGTTCACCATCGAGGTGTTCACGCGCATTGTCTTCTGTCCCGACAAGGCCGAGTTCTTCAAGAGCATGCTGAACATCATTGACTTTGTGGCGATCCTGCCTTTCTACCTAGAGGTCAGTCTGAGCGGACTCTCCTCCAAAGCGGCGAAAGACGTGTTGGGCTTCCTGCGAGTGGTGCGCTTCGTCCGAATCCTGCGCATCTTCAAGCTGACGCGCCACTTCGTGGGTCTCAGGGTTCTCGGACACACGCTTCGCGCAAGTACTAATGAGTTCCTCCTGCTCATCATCTTCCTCGCTCTCGGCGTCCTCATCTTCGCCACCATGATCTACTACGCCGAGAGGATAGGAGCCAGTCCGGACGACCCTACGGCGAGCGCGCACACCAACTTCAAGAACATCCCCATTGGTTTCTGGTGGGCTGTGGTGACCATGACCACCTTAGGTTATGGAGATATGTATCCGGAGACGTGGTCGGGCATGTTGGTGGGGGCGCTGTGTGCCCTCGCGGGGGTGCTGACTATTGCCATGCCCGTGCCCGTCATTGTTGAAAATATATATATATATATATATATATATAAATAATTGGGGGATAAATCAGTGAATTTAATCATTTAAAAATGAAACATCAAATCAATTAAAATGATATTTAATAATAAAAAAAAAGATGAGAAGCCACAGCCTGAAGATAACCGAGAGACGTTTTGGAGCTGTGTGGGAAAACATTTTGGGTGTGTTGTTAAAATGATGTTAAAGTGCCCTCGCGGGGGTGCTGACTATTGCCATGCCCGTCCCCGTCATTGTGAACAACTTCGGCATGTATTACTCTCTGGCCATGGCCAAGCAGAAGCTGCCCAAAAAGAAGAACAAACACATCCCGCGAGCCCCGCAACCCGGCTCACCCAATTACTGCAAGCCGGATGCCCTCGCCATGGCGACGGCCTCACCCCAGAGGATCCTGGGTAACGTGCTGGGCGGCGTGCTGGGCTCGAGCGGGATGGCGGGGGACTGTCCTTTAGCTCAGGAGGAGATCATAGAGATTAACAGAGGTGAGAGACTGAAGGGATACACACAGATTTTCATATGCACCACCAAAAAGTCTTTCATTGACTGGTTTTAAACTCATTATGGTGGATTCTGTAAAGGAATGGATGCAAGGAGATGAGATATATATATATACTCACACACACACACACACACATAATTATTTCTGTTGATTTCCATGCTTGTGTGTTTATATGTTTATGAACAACAAAAATTTATATTTTATATTATATATCTTTAATTGTATGTATTATACATCCGTCGTTTTTATATTATTTTTTATAATATTTTATATTATATTATTTTTTCTTCATATATAT